TTTGATAGTTGAAATTTTTGCCAATCTAATGCTCTATTGTTAAATTCGTAGAAAGTTAATTTTACAAATGCAACCAAAAGTAAATATTGATTCGAATTTTTATTGTATATTACCTTGTTTGTTAATTTAAAACGTATGTACAAATCTATAACTAACATCGACAACAGTTATTTTAAGTAGGCTAAATATCAAATTAACATATCGTCGCTACTGATTAAGTGAAGTATAATCAGAAATAAATAGATCAAAGTAATACAAAATTTAAACCAAAAAATGTTTTGAAAATAACGTTACAGTTCTCGAAGTTTGAAGAGGTTTAAAAAAGCCTCAGGATGAATAACAACTATTCGGTTGTCAGAAAGATCCCTGAAAAACCATACGTACACAATATAATAACACACGTGTATATATATATATATATATATATATATATATATATATATATATATATATATATAAATATATCTATCTATATATATATATATTTATATATATATATATATATATATATATATATATATATATATATATATATATATATATATATATATGTGTGTGTGTGTGTGTGTCTGGGCCTGGCTGGCTTTTGGGAGTTTATATAAATACTAACGGGAAAGTTTTTGCAAAAAAAATAATAATTTCGGAGTCGAATCACCCCGGTATTGTGTAATGCGATTTTTTTTTCTGTTTAAGGTATATTAGGAAAAAGTCGTATGCGGTTTGACACCGTACAAGCGATTTCCTTGGTTGATAGGTGAGGTTACTCCTGAGAATCTGTTTGTGAAAACAAAATCATAGAAAATAAAATTCTGATGCGGCTTTACGCTCAGAAATTACGAATTCGATTGGGCGACCTGCTTAGGGGATAATACTTGATTCACTGATAAAACAACACCATGCAGATACGCCCAACGGTTGAGTGACCCACGTGAGCATGTTGAATACTTTAATTATATAAAAAAGGCTATACATTAAGGATAAGGAACAATATTCTTTCATTAAATCGAATCAGACGAATCTTCCGGCACCCTTGCAGGGTGCGATTTGGCGCAAAGGGATCCCACGTGCACTATGGCGCCTACGCTCGTTTAAAAACTGCGATACATTATGGATAGGTTGGGCTACTATACTCGCTCACGAACTCGAGACCGGTGTGTCGTGATGCGCCTCAGCGTAATGGCGATTTGGCGGCGTATTCATTTTGCAACTAAATCTTTTAAATAACGTAAATTCTAAGGAACAATATTATTATTATCACTCCCGCTTTATTTAAAATACACATTATAAATTGTGGTAAAAATTTTTAAGCCATGTTTAAACTATGCTTTATTTTCGATACAATAAATAGCACCTACAATTTCCTTAATACAGGCAAGGACTTGAAATCATCTTTTTCAACTTCCGTGATGAAGTTCAATCTTAACGATCTACGCTCGGAAAAAAGGTATTGTGTCAATTATAACTATGCTATACAATGTTAAGTACTTATTTATAAATTTTACCATAACCTTCGCTAACCTCTTATACGTAAGATATGTGTTTAGTTTTTTTTTTTTTTGTGAATTTATTTACTTTTTAAAAAAAATGCAATGTATAATGTGTGAAATTACACTGGTGTATAATTGTCCCGTGTCACCGTACTTTAACGCTAGACACACGATGATACAACTTATACTTACAGGAGCTCCGTTGTTCGAGGAAAGCCATACGGCACTCTGGTAAAAGACTTGCTGTCGCAGTTAATGTTGGAAATAATATCGCAGTGGCATCTCACCGACGCCTGCACATTACCCCTGTGTAGTCTACAGGCCTGGGCCTTATCACCTGTCGTCTGGGCGGAACACAATGTCTCCAGGCGAATCGAAAGTACGAACAGCAGTGGTCGTAACGTGAATCGAATGTTATCTCTATTGTATTTCATTTTTTTTTTTTACAATTTTTGACTGAACATCATTACTAGATATTGGGTTAACTTGGATAAAAACAAACGTTGAAAAGTTGTATAATACAATGTAGATATGTTTTTAAGTGTATATCTACTATCTTACACTACATATTACATCGCAAAAAAAATGTTTGCTACAAGTTATTTTATGTTAGTCATCTTTATCACGACATCATTTTTCGACTAGCTTGCTATTTAATACACGGTTTACAACACTTACTATGAAAATAGTAATGTATATACTACAAAGTCATTAAACTATCATTTTAAGACGTGTAATAGATCTAGATCTATAGCGCAAAGATAGTTTCCGTATTATGAAACCTTGTTTGATAGAATGATTCACATCTATTTATATCTATTTTCTTTTTACAATTTAATTCTGTGTTTGTATCCTGTTCCGGTTTGAATGCAATGCTTTATGGTTTAGTCACAGCGCAAAATGTCAGATGGTGCGAATACAAGTGGGGACTGTGGGGCTTTGAAAAGCATTTCGTTAACTTAAATGTTCTGGATGTTTAGTCATTGTAAGGTATAGATCTAGGTAGATACTATGATTCGATCAAATAATATAAAATTGTAAATAGTTAATAATTGAGAGTTCCATTGGATAGTGTCATCTACGTAGTTTTCGTTAACGGATGTATTTTACTTATAGGTTAGGGACATCTCCGTCAGTTCAAGTCAGGTGAGGTCAGGTGAGGTCGGGTGAGGTCAAGTTAGGTCAGTTTAAATCATGTTAGGTCAGGTTAGGTCAGGTTAGGTCAGGTCACGTTAGGCACGTTAGGTCACGTTAGGTCAGGTCAGGTCAGGTCACGTTAGGTCAGGTCACGTTAGGCACGTTAGGTCACGTTAGGTCAGGTCAGGTCAGGTCAGGTCAGGTCGGGTCGGGTCGGGTCAGGTCATGTCAGGTCAGGTCAGGTCAGGTCAGGTCAGGTCAGGTCAGGTCAGGTCAGGTCAGGTTAGGTTAGGTTAGGTTAGGTTAGGTTAGGTTAGGTTAGGTTAGGTTAGGTTAGGTTAGGTTAGGTTAGGTTAGGTTAGGTTAGGTTAGGTTAGGTTAGGTTAGGTTAGGTTAGGTTAGGTTAGGTTAGGTTAGGTTAGGTTAGGTTAGGTTAGGTTAGGTTAGGTTAGGTTAGGTTAGGTTAGGTTAGGTCACGTTAGGACAGGTTAGGTTAGGTTAGGTCAGGTTAGGACAAGTTAGGTTAGGTTAGGTCAGGTTAGGTCAGGTTAGGTCAGGTTAGGTTAGGTTAGGGCTAAAATCGTCCTAAATACAATACATATTTTGCCGTGATATATTCTGTCTAATATATTTTGCCTAAGATCAATTGTCCTGGAATCCGCCGTAAATCAGAAAAATGGTCATTAATAGATTGCTCAATGTTCCGGTTAGGTCTTCTACGTTGTACAAGAAGTGCAACAGTTACAAGCTTGGAAATATACGACCGGTGAGGATGGAATAAAACATCAAAACAATATTTTTAGGATTAAAATGAATCGGAATTGAACACTTAAACCCACTCTATTTTGTTGAAATGATGACTCATACGAAATCAAAAGCAATACAACGAAATTTAATAGTAGCGTTAAACATGAATTAAAGAAACACAATAAATAAATGTCACATTCAAAATGTATATAGGGGGCCTTCTTTAAATATATCACGATAAATAAAACAAGTATCATATTAAATTCTGCCTAAACAGTAGTTTACGATTCGTTTGCGTTAAATAGCAAAAAACAAATTAATCTGATTGCACTTCCTTCCTTAAACAACATTCATGAACAAAAATATATATGGATGACGTAAACCGAATTTGTAATTAGTTTGTTAGCTTGTCTTACATCAGCAGTGTAACGAGGAGGGGATGTGAGGTCTGCACCGGGGACTTTATTTATGGGGTGACACCAGGGGCGTAGCGAGGGTGGGGGGGGGGGGCGGGGGATGCGGACGGCACCGGGTGACACCATTTAGGGGGTGACACCAAAGAAAAAAATAGCAAAATATATAGAGAAATATGATTATTCCACTTATTAAGTGATTAGTTCGAGTGTTAAATAGTCTTTTAAGAGGTACAAATCGAAAGTTTGAGTGGGGGGGGGGGGGGGGGTGCAAATCGAAAGTTTGAAAGGGGGGGGGTAAAAGTTAAAAATTGAAAGTTTGTCCCCGGGAAGGGTTGCTACGCCTCTGGGGGGTGACACCATTAAGTGCCGCACCGGGAGACACCCGACCTCGCTTGGGTGACACCAAGCCGAAACATAGTTACAGTTACTGTTAAAACACTGTTAAAACAGTGTTGTCCAGTTAACATTAGGGAGAGGAGCGATATCAAAAGGAAAATGCGAAATTGTTGGAAAGTGTAGGGTAGTACCATAGATATCCGCACTAGAGAGATCTCCACCTATGTTACGCCACTGATTTTGACCACAGTTTTGAACAAAGCTCCGTGAATGAACTTAGCTATTTTAGCCTTGATCTTCTTCTTGAACTAAACGTATGTAATTGAAGTCTTCTTGCGGATGTGGGATGGCGTGGTCCGGTGGTAGATTATACAAATTCCAACCCTAAAGGCTTGTGTTCGAATCAAGGGTTCGTGTTGGTACCACGTTAGGGAAAATAAAAGATGTTGGTCATAATGCTGAACACACTAACACTTTATTTTCATTGGTCACAGAAACAGGTAAACTCTACTTTATCTGCCCCACAGACAGTGAGGTTGGAAAACTATTTTACTTTAGATATTTACCATTCTGATTGCACTGTTTACACAACACTTTTAAGAAAATCTATGTGAGTTACACTAACCCATTCAGTGTTTAGTATGATTGCATATTATTAAACGACCCTTCTAAACAACATCGACATCATTATTCCTTTGTGGCCCCTGGGGAGCAAAGGGCTGCAATCACACATCTCCATCGGACTCGGTTTTGGGCTGCTCTCTTTATCTGTGCCCATGTGAGCCCAGCTGTTTTCGCCGTTCTTCTCTATGTCTTCCTTAGCCGACCCACCCTCCTTTTGAACAAACTAATGAACAAATCAAATGTCTTTTCAACTGGAAGGCCTTAACCGATGTAGGCCCGAACAGTTCCTTGGATTTTCTTCCTGCAGACGGGGCAGTCCTTCATGGCAAAGGCACACTCACTGCAGGAGACCAGGTGGCCACAGGGTAGGAAGACAACGTTGACCTCCCTGTCCATGCAAATTTTGCACGTCGTTTGATGACGTAGCTGAAGATTCTTCTCTTTGATTATCCTCAGATGTTCTAGTCGAAAATAAATATCAATATATATATATATATATATATATATATATATATATATATATATATATATATATATATATATATATATATATATATATATATATATATATATATATATATATATATATATATATATATATATATATATATATATATATATATATATATATATATATATATATATATATATATATATATATATATATATATATATATATATATATATATATAACCCATCTTCGGCAACGTTCAAAATCCAGCACCTATGTCTAATTAAGGAATATTGAGCACTCTAAAAAGTTGAAGTCTATGGGTCTAGTGAAGTAGAGTTCACCTCATTCTGTAACCTCGGCATATTAAGAAATCGTGTGGTCAGCATTATACCCAGCCGCCTTTACTTTCTCTAACGTGAGTTACGTACTCATCAGAGCTGGGTGGACTTAAGGGCGTTATCTGATTTGAACCCATTTCGATCTCAAAACTTTCTGATTTGTATCTAGCGCTGTACCGCTATGCCACAACATCCTATTAGGCAACACGACACATCGATATGAGCTTTAAAGTACACCTCAGTCCCCATTAATAGCCCAATATCCATAAATCGAGGTTAAATCAAACTTTCTGCTGTTCTACTGACCTTTATTTTCAGCTTCATCCAGCGGTTCCAAGTCTTCGCGGGACTGAATAAATGTTTTTCTCGTGGAACCAGATTCTCGCAATTCCTCCAAAATCTCATCGGCAGACAGTTGTCCATCTACGGGAGAAAGTTTAAAACAACCGGTTAAATCTGTGACCATCCTACTCTAGTACATCAATCTATATCGGCTAACATCACAATGACCACCCTACTCTAGTACATCAGTCAATATCGGCTAACATCACAATGACCACCCTACTATAGTACATCAGTCTATATCGGCTAACATCACAATGACCATCCTACTCTAGGTAATCAGTCTATATAAGCTAACATCACAAGGACCACCCTACTATAGTACATCAGTCTATATCGGCAAACATCACAATGACCATCTTATTCTAGGTAATCAATCAATATCAGCTAATATCATATGACCATCATACTCTAGGTAATCAATCTTATCGGGTAAAATTATAGGACCATCTAATTCTAGTACATCAATCTAAATCAGCTAAAATTATGTGAGAGTCTTATTGAAGTACATGTTTACATCACCGTTACCATTTACTCTAGTCCAACAATCTAAACCAAACAACACTACCATAACCTTTTTATTCAAATACATCAAACTAAATCATCTAAAACCACGTAATTATCCTACTCAATTACATCATATTAAATTAACTAACATCACCCTGAGCTTCTTATTCTAATACAGCACACTAATTAATCTAACACAACCCTTAAAAGAATGCCTTACTATTTTCTTTAATGGTCTGTGCAGCAATTAAAACATCCACCGACGAGTATCCTATCTCTACGACTGACCGGACAGCGGCGTCTCTGAGTAGACTACCATTCTGCTCGCAGCCTACAAGAAAACACCACGTATTGAAAAATATTTATCATACATGTAGGCCTACTTCTAGAGAAATTGGCATTCAAAATAATCAAAAAATATTGCACAAAATAATGTTTGGCTATTATGATGTTTATATCCACATTTTCTTTGCTACATTAACTAATTGGCTTTGTCGTTTAACTGTTTTATTTTCAAGCAAAATTACGATCATAAAAATTAATTTCCGGTTGTATATTATTATATTCCGGAATCTCTCAACCCAATGCTAAATGCTTTCAAACATAAGCTTCTTTACAGATAAGAATATAAACACATAAATTAAATATTGATATACTTAAACAGAAGTTAGACCGTCGTTATCTAAAAACATTTATTTTGCCTCACCTAATTTACTCAGCTGGTAGCTTGCTCCCATTTCAGATTTCACAGAGTGTAATGTAATCTGAAAATATAGTTTTCGTGATAATATGGGCTTATATATCTTAATATAAATGTATTGTAGGCCTATGTAATTCTGCTGTTTCTTTTTTTAATTTGACTGATATTCATCGTAAATATTCGTAAAGTATGTAATACAGTACCTATTCTATTTGTATATTCATAGATGTATTGCTAACTAAATTTCCACTTAGAACATAAAACGCCCCCCCCCCCCCTTTTATGCGTGTACTGTACTAATGACACTATTGTGCCAGTGTTGTTACTGTACTAGCACAGGGCTTATGCTAGTCTTTTAAATCTATTCTGAAGCTTACCTTTTCATGTGATTCGTTCAACTTCTGCACCGCGTCTATAAAGTCTTGACCTAGGCTCTGACGTACAAAGGCACACCTGGGCATCCACCTGGCGTGTTCCACCCACGCATCGTCGTCTTTCTCCCAGCACCTGAGTCCCAGGTGGCAGTAGAAACACCGCGCGCAGTCGCCGTAACCTGAGAGTGGAGAGTTCATGATCGAATCACCTCTGGCTTTAATGCTTTTGCTAGTTATTGTTATATAGCGTATTGGGGGAGGGGGGGTGGGCTAGAGGTAAAGCGCTAGATTTTCTAGCTCGAATTTGGGCACAAGTCAGCAAAACTTCCCCGAGACCACCCAGCTCACCTTAGGGATACAAAGACCGCAGGGCTTAGTGCTGACCACATTATCTCCCCGTATGCCGAGGTTATCCGGCCCATGTGTCTAGTGCACAGAGGGGAAAAAATGCTGGAATGGTGCAATGCCAGTGCTTGTAGTATAGTTAGAGATACGCAGACAAATTACTTTTTGAAAACAAATCAAGCTCTCATACCATTATCTATATATGACCGCATTGTTAAATAGTAGAGTATACATCAGTCACTCTCCAATTATTTATTAAATTAAGACATTTGGTGTTTTTTACCCGTATGGATTTCCTACGTATAACTTACTCTAAATTGAATAAAAATCTAGCTACAATATTTCTACGTGTATGTATATAACGAGGAAACATAATGTATATTATTAGCCATATAACCGACATCCATGAGCTTGACTTACATGTCTAGACAAAATAGATGTGAACTGGTTTGGTTATTTCGTATAATCAACATTCGATATGAACACATTCAATTATACTTTGTTGGGGTAAGTCAAATGTTTTCTAGTTTTGTGCATGATTGAATTTCCAATTCATCTGTACTTTACTCTTATGTTTTAATCAAAACGAGACATAATCTGATACATTACGTATTTTACAACACAACTAAAATGTGTATTCATGGCACATACAAACCACATAATATTTTTATACAGTGTATATTTCTTACCTGCATAGTACAATCCTGCCTCAGCCAGAACGTCTTTGGTTAGATGATGATCACTGGGCCAGTTTTGAAAACTCTCCAAGCGCTTCACTTTGAGAGCGTATTCTGGAACTTTTGGTCGATCGGTCACGATTCCTAGCTCAGCGTAGGTTGGTGGTCGACCGGGTTTACGTTTGTGATCTCCCCCCGGGGGTGCGGCCTGTTGCACGGCCTCTGTGACTGAGAGTGGTTTATGTGAAGGGGGGTGTGAGTTTGAGGTAACGTTTGTTTTAGTTTCAGATTCTCCATTAGCTGAGTGCGATATTGTACTTTGTGGTGATGAAGCTGTTGAAGATGGGACTGTAGAACACGTAACAGGCAAATTGGTGTTAGAATTGTTTGATATTTGTATAGATGTAGAGTCTCCGATCGATGTAGATGAAAAACTACTATTGTTCGAAATAAGTGCTGTTGAACTAGCTAAAGACGTTCTTGAACTACTTATCTGCCAAATTGTGGTCGAGCCAGATGATGTTGAACATCTTAATGAATTCGAATTTGTATTTGAAGATATACTACAATTAATCTGGGGTGTAGATAGTTGAAGCTCTGTGTTTCTAGGCTGATTACTTTGATTCAACTTCGGGCTGTTGAAGTAAACCATAATCTCTTGCAGCTTTGAATCAGACCTGAGCGAAAAAGCCACATTCCTACACGCTATCCCAGTCAACATAGGACAGCTGGGAGATAACTCCGTATGAACAGAGTGTATCGCGTCGTTAAAACGCCAGTCGCGTTTCCTCCCCTTACAGAAAACACACATGACACTGTCGTCAGAGTCTCTGCCCGTGCCCACGTACACAAACCCCTCCCGGGCTAACGACACGGGAGGCTTGACACAGCTGTGTGGGTAGGTGCTGAACGTGGCCAGTCGGTAGAGCTCATGGTTCAACTGTTCCCATGTTAACCTGTGGATCTCTGTTGGATGCCAGACTTGGTTGTCTTGGGTAGATACGTCCTCGACCTCTCTTGACGGCCTACATGTTGAGTAAAATACCATTTAGTAAACAATATATAAAACGATAACATTGTATGAATACCTGATGTATATATACATTGAATTATATATATATATATATATATATATATATATATATATATATATATATATATATATATATATATAAATTATAAATTTATATACATATAGTTACATGTATTTATATATTTAAATTTATGTATACATTTGATATACAAAAACTATTTGATTTTCGATGTATTTGTTAATTAATATATTGTTTTCCTCGATGAAATTCGTAACGAATATAAAGACATGAATTGTACCATGATTGATTAAACATGGGGAGAGACTATTTTCTCCTGAAACTGTCCTAAAATGAGACGATTTTACTTTACATTCGAATCTGTAAATGTGTCAGGACGGTTAGGCTTATATATCACGGAGCAGAGAAAGGTTGACACCGGTTACAGATGATAACGATTTCCCGTACGTATATATAAATAGATTTGTTTCGTTTGACTGGGGAGTAAAGGAAATACCCGCAGGAATACATAAGGAAACGGTGATCGGGAAAACAGCTAGCATGAAATCGGAAAAATATATTGTGATAAGAATGGCTATGCAACCAATGCAGTTGTAACACAATCAAACTTTGTATATTTTTTAATTGAAAAAACTTTTGTTCGCTTCACAAATGTCATCGATTAAAAACGATTCTTATAAAGACAATTTACTGTGGATATTTCCAATATGTTAGAAATGTCTATTTCTGATATTTTTGAATAATTACACACACACATTTGTTTAAGTATGTGTATGCATATGTATATTTATAAATATATGTGTATATATGTATACATTTTTATTGTGCATATATTTTTATGTATATGGATATATATATATATATATATATATATATATATATATATATATATATATATATATATATGTATATATAAATATGTATATATATATATATATATGTATATTTATATATATATATATATATATAGAGAGAGAGAGAGAAACTTCACACCTAATGAAAGAGATATTTAATAAATATATATGTGTATTTATTTTTAATAATATTACATAATTAAAACCAAAACTGTCATGTTTATTATGAAGCTGGATCTCACTCTTTTGGCTGAGAAAAAGCTACCATTTCGAACCTAACTTTCCTTGGGTTAGATGACGTAGACCTCTATTCAACCCATTGTCTAGAACTTCGTATGCAAGTTAAAGCTGCACCTGAATCGTGTAGCTTTAATATTGTGTGTTTATACTGAGTCAGGCTATGTAGTAAAAAAACGTTACTGAAGTGTTAGTTATCTGAATTACTTCCTGGAAGGCCCCGTCAATCTCCCGTGGGAAAATCTAAACACCCAGGACGTCTGTGCGGAACTACCATTCCAGTTTAGCTTTGGCTATATTTTTCTTTAAGATAGCCTACACCTTGTTGTCTACCATTATCATTGATTACGATTATAATTAAATTAACAATCGAGTTAGTGATATATATATATATATATATATATATATATATATATATATATATATATATATATATATATATTTGGCTGCAATGAAAAAGATAGAACAAATTATTTACTTTAAATATATAATAATACACTGTTATTTAAACAGCTGTAAGGAAAAGCGAGGTCACTATATAATATAGGCTACTTTCACACCCACGCTTACCCAATCAGTGTTTCTTTCAGACTATTTTTATTCGGGGGGGGGGCGGACTACAATTTCAGGGGTGTGGAGGACACTGTTAAATGTATGTATTCTCTACATAAATTCCATTTCGTTCGGGAGGTAGGAGGGCGGTAGACTTTCTTCGGGGGACTCCCCCTCCCCCCACCCCCTGAAGACCTGCAGCAGAGTTTATGATTCAACGACCAGAGCATAAATGTGATTAAGAGGACAGTACTACGCCGAGCCACCCTGGTTTCCCTTTGTCAGGTACCCATTAGAGCTTGTAATGTAACGTAAACGGCAAAGATCAAAATAAAAATACATTTATTATCCTTTACAAAGATTACAATTTTATCTGAAAACATTATACAAAAATATTATTCCAGTCATTTCAAACTAAAAGTAAAAACCTCCTTCATCTTGAACTGCTTAGTAAACATTTTACTGTGTTTTCAGCAACGTTTAACCCATTGACTAATGTCAAGTATAATAACTCAACACCGACTTTTTTACTCAGCCTATGACTCACATATAAAATGTTTGACAAACACTTCTATAACATCAACTTTATAGGTCTAACTTAACTTAATTAACGTGTAATGTACACAGGCGTGTCTTTGGTTAACTTCCAGCTGAAGATACAATTTTAACTTAAGCTCCTTTGTAATGCAGGAAATAAAATGTCCCGGCTCATACAATCTGGAAAAATGTATAGGCTAGGATTTTTTTCTGCTTGTTCTCTGCCTTTACGGCGAGTAGTTTCTTGCACCATCGTCTAACAATGTATTGTGCATTAGATCATATTCACAAAATGTAATTTTAAATAAGTATTTTGAACTGGTATAATGTGTCTGTAATGCAGCTACAATAAAAGATAAGTTGTATCGCGAATTGAAGTTATAATGTAGGCCTATGTGTAAATATACATACACAGAAACACACACACAAACAGTGTTTCTTCCAGACTTTTTTCTCCGGGGGGGGGGGGCACTTGAAATTTTCGGGGGTGGGGGGGGGGGTGGTGGTAGACTTTCTTCGGGGGGGGGGGGGGCGGACACTGTTAAAAGTATATATTTTCTATATAAATTATATAAATGTCATTTCGTTCGGGGGGCGGTAGAAATTTTTCGGGGGGGGGGGGCTTTCCCCCCCCCCCCCGAATAGATGCCTGGAAGAAACTCTGCACACAAATACACACACACACATATATATATATATATATATATATATACATGTCTTTTTGTGTGTGTATTTGTATATATATATATATATATATATATATATATATATATATATATATATATATATATATATATATATATATATATATATATATATATATATATATATATATATATATAAAATTCCAGTTTAGCAACCATCAACTAAAACCCAAAACTGAACAAAAGTAGGTGTCTTATCGCGGCATATGTACTAAATTCCGTGGAAAATAAATCCGAACCAAACTTTCTAAAAAAAATTAAAAAACTCATCGTCATGATGAAATGTCCAAATAACAATTTTGCTGTACATTGAGCAACTATAGAGAGTAAATTTTAGTATAATGTCAAGTATACTTAATCACCACCGACCTTTGATTTCCACTCAGGTTCTGAGTCACAACTTAACGAAACTTATGTGACAGTTGTCTCACAGGGGTAGAGTTAACACAGTCAATCGAGTAAAGAGTAGGTTTCACACGCATGGTGTTGGTACAGTTATTGTTAACTTTTTATATGACTTTACTTTGTAATGAGAGAAATGAGAAACACACGGTTCGAACATTCAGTAAAATGTTTGGGCTAGGATTTATTCTGCTTTTTCTTAGCCTTAACGGTGAGTAGTGTTTCATTCTATTGTGTCGAACATTTTTCTTATGTCGTATTTTTAGAGATACGTAAATAGGTCTTAAAAGACTGTATTCTAAATTGAGAAATTGTAGCGCGCTCTAGGGATATTTTAAATTGTTAAACACACACACACATATATATGCACGCACACACACACACATATATATATATATATATATATATATATATATATATATATATAATACATATTTGTTTATTTGTTTATTTTTTTATTGTATTTATGTATTTATTTATATTTTATCAAAAAAGTATTTAATTGTTCTGAACGTGTGAATAGATAATCATAGCAAAGAGAATGTTCTATGATAACGAAGAGTAGGCCTATAACTGTATCTACAGCTGATGTTGAGTGTCTATTCCAATGGACAGGCAGTGACTTTCATACTTCATGTAGTAAAGGTTTGATAACAGGTCTAGACTTTGCCATAATAAAAGCACAGGTGATTGGTTCATCGTTGCCTCAAAGCAGCAAAACCTTCAGGATTGAAACCACTACAGACGGTGGAACTAATTTCACACATGTAAGTTGTTAATTAAGCTGAAGTTATGAATACCTTTGCTTGGAATTACACAAAAAGTTTGATATCTTCAAATTGCATAATAACGTTGATTTTTTTTTTTAAATTAAACATATGTCGTACAATTTTAACTCATGTTGTAAGATTTTAACTAAACTAAAATGAAAGTAATTGTTAATTTAAGTTTTGTATAATGCAACTTATATGACATATTAAAGTTTCTTTCAATGCACATTTTTGTCAGTTGTGCCTTGTAGATCTCAACAAACAATGTATAGGTCAAGTAAAAGGATTTTTTTGCTACTGTAACTACACGGATAACAACATGATTTCTCACATTGTCATTAACATACCAGTATCTAGCCGCTACAGTGAATCTTCGATGCGTGGCTGCCTTAGTATTGACAAAAAAAAATTACACTGTAAGGATCAACGACTCCCAACAATGTCTAGTATGTGAACAGTAAATCTCAAAATTATATAATCTTTAAATATCCTTAATTTAATAGGCTATTTTTAAAAACAATTTGTTTTTGTGAAAAATTCTTCGGTTAATATAGCTCATTCATCTGTTCTTAGATTTAACATATTCCTTCAACAATAAAAGTCTTCCTATGATATCCGATTCATACAAAGAAACTGTGAACGGTGACACAGTCAAGATTTGTTGTCCTGATTCACCGTCCCCGTGTGCTGTGTCCATACCTCAAGAAAATAAGAACACAACAGCAGAACGTTGTATTAATCACGTCATCAAACCTAACAGCAATAAGGAAGTTATAAACTTAACCATAACCTTTGTTATATGTGATGAAAGAAAAAGCATTAATGTAAGCTTTGAAGTTAACTTAGGTAAGTACACACTTTATAAAACATGAATTGAATAAAAAAAGAATAGACGAATAAACCAATAGAAGAAAAAAAATATAATAAACAAAATAAACAAAATAAACAAATAAACAAAATAAAACAAATAAACAAAATAAACAAAATAAACAAATAAACAAAATACACAAAATAAACAAATAAACAAATAACAAATAAAAAAAACAAATAAACAAATAAACAAAAAACAAACAAACAAATAAAGAAATAAACATAAAAAACAATTAACAAATTAACATATTAACATATTAACACATTAACACAATAACACATAAACAAGTTAACAAATTAACAAGTTAAAAGTTTGCAAATTAACTAAGTAACACCTTAACATATTAACAAATAAATGAATAAATGAACTAATAAAAAAATAAAAAAAATAAATACATAAATATATAGGCCTATATATATATATATATATATATATATATATATATATATATATATATATATATATATATATATATATATATATATATATATATATATATGTAATATATTAGTTTATTTATTTGTTTATATATTTAACTATGTTGAGTTTATTTTTTTCATTGATAGAGGATACAGGAGGCAATTACTGGATATTTGTTATCATAAGTGCTGTCATCTTTTGCATTATGATTATTGCAGTGATCGTCGCAATAGGTAAATAATTTATAAATGCTATCAAGAATTAGTATTAATCATCGATTAATTGAACCATGTCCAGTTAGAAGATTGTATTATCATAACATTCAGATAATGAAAACAAATAATCCAGAAATTAATTATTTTACAAAAGTTTACGCGTGTATTAAATTTTTTATATTTTGCAGCCCAGAGAAAGCATTTGAATAAGTAAGTATTTCTAATGTAAGACTATTTTCATTCGAATAATCTATCTAAATTATTTGATAATTTATAATGCAAAAACCTATTTGGTTGTTAAAACTAATTTTTACACTTGATTGATATTTACGCACATTCTGTTAGTCTATAAAATAGCAGAATACGACATAAATTGTTATTAATATTAAATAATTTGTTTTTCTACTGAAAGAATCGTAAAAATTAAATTTAAATGTCGATGATGCAGACAACAGTTTTCTGTGTTATATATAGTGGGTAGAGTTATACGTAAATTATATATATATATATATATATATATATATATATATATATATATATATATATATATATACGAATAAATATTAACCTTGTTTGTTTGTTTGTATTAGTACAATCTAATTGTTGCGCAATAAAGGAATGCATCCTGTTAATACATTCTTTCAATACAAAACACTTTATACACATTGTAATCCTTATTAGCAATAATACTTGTGATATGACATGATAGGATTTTGAAAAAAAAACTGTGTGTGTATTCATGTGTGTAATTTTTTCCCTACAGACCCGAAAAACGCCAACGAGATTTCAAATGCTATTTCAGTGATTATATTACTCCGGCTTACGATTTGGAATCATGTTAAAGCTAATTGGATGGAAATAAAAAGAGAGCCTTCTTTACTTAAAAAATATTACATTGTATATACATTTAGTATAGAATTGTAAATTATTTTTAATCAAATTATATTATTGTAATATAACTGTAATTGGTTAAATATATGTCAGTTAAATTATGCTTTCCTTTAAGCTCAATACAAATATTATTTAGGAAAATTATACATTTGAAATAATTGAATATAAAGTACTATACACTAAATGTGAACTCATATCAGAACAAAGTTTAATGAAATTTTTACTTGACAACGTAGACGAGTTACAAATACTTTGTTACTTGTGACTAGTTAAAAACAAGGAAGTATACAATGTCATCAACCATAAGTATTTCATTTTTTAAGTCAACATGTTTGTAACTGCTCTTTGTCCCCACCTATTAAGATTTGTATTGTCTAGCTTATGATACAAAAACTTTTGTATTTCAGTGGAGTTTTTAAAACAGTTTTAATATCTTATATGCTATTTGACTTCCTTGTAATATGATATTTTTGCAATGATAAACAGTTTTGTCTTCTTAGCAAATATTGTTTTAATTCTTCAATCGTGTTTACACTTTTTGTTTTAAAATTTTAATATTTTTTTAGAATGCAAGTTTAAGTTACAATACAAGTGCAAACATAAAGTAAAAAAATATTGAAAATGAAAATATGTGAGGTATTCAAACATGAAAGGTTATATATCTGAGACCAAAGGACTGGGAAATTAGTTTAAACTGGACATGAAACAATACTGCAATCAGCGATCTGTTTATCATGATCTCACTTTCTCGAATACAATCACTTTCAGCTCAGACGTTCACTAATTAGTGATTGGGATGGCAGTGTGAGCTCGTAACCAATCTCACGTGACAATGTATATAAGCACACCAACAAAAACTCTGCAGTTAGGTAACACAATATGGTTTAATCGTATTGCTTTCTCATCCTCATTAAACATCAATCTTCCACTTTTCTAACCCATCCTTCAACTGTCCTCCCAGTTCTTTCCTACACACCTCCTCTCTCTCGCTAACACAACCGCTGTCACTCGACTGTCCCTTGTACCCTCGTTCGCCCCGTACAACAACATACACGTTAACACACACGGCCTCGCGTATCGCTACAGTATATTATATACAAACATGCAGAGATCCGTCCCACGTATACACCTTTAGTACACATGACATCACCACAGACAGGTCTACGTGTCTGACCCATTTAACCAGCCCACTAGACGCGTCAGTTTCCTCCTGGTTTTTTCTTCCTTCCCAAGTGCATGGCGTTACCTGGTTTACCTGAGCTGTTCCGACAATGGATAACTGGAGCCAGATTCCTAACTCGAGCGCATTCTACCATTAGACCATGTTATCCCCTTGTGGTCAGTACTATGTTCAGCCACATTATATTATAAACAACAGTGTTTCTTTCAGACTTTTTTCTCAGGGGGGGGTACTTGCTATTCCGGGATGGAAGGGACTAAATTTTCCGTGGGGTGGGGGGGGGGGGGAGAGGGGCGGACACTGGTAAAGTAAATATTTTCTATATAAATTATTTTGTTTGGGGGGAGGGGGGCGGTAAACTTTTTTCGGGGGGGGGGGAGCCTGGAAAAACTGTGTTAGGCACTGTAGTCCTATGACATCCGAGACTTTTTTGGTGTAAACTAAAGTTGTTGACGAGTTGTCATTTCTCAGATATTATCGTTACAGTTATTTAATTTAAAGCACGAATACTAATTGAATCAAAACGTTTTATTTTTTTAAATCACGTAGTAATTGTCTGTTATTTATAGTTACCGTCTTGCTGGAGCGTTATTGGTTCATAATACAAACAGTTAGGATTTCAATAGTTGTTTCAGTTTTTGTGTCAGATATGTAAATTAATTTATATTTTATAAAATAGTATGTTAAACTATATTCGAAGGCCTTGCAGTGTATAGTAGGGGACGCAGAGCTTGGATAATTTATTGACCTTTTTAAAACTGGGTATTATCTATGTAGACCTACTCTTATGGCTTGGTGAACTAACGATCCAGTGGACTCGAATTTTTAAAACAGTAGTTCAAAATATATGTACACATGTTTTTCATGTATAGCATGTTTTATTATTTATATTCTCGGCACATTTAACAAAGGCAAAACATCTCACTTTGTATTATTCCGTAAATTTTACATGCGTATTTCTATATATAATTCAATTTAGTTATTTAGTACTACGTTATTGTAATGTAAAATGATGTCAACAATAAAAATTAAAAAAAAAACAATAAAAGTGTTGTTATATGTAATCAAACCGTTTGTACAGTATAACAAGCAGTACAAAAACTAAAACAATAACACAACAAAAAACAATAGAAATATCAATGTATCAGTGTGATTAAAGTATCGACATCTCGGTTGTATCAGTCAGATCACTTGGGGTAACGTACTCCATACCGTCAACACAATGTTGACGACTAATCGTATGGGGATTCGGTATTTCAGGCCTGGGTATTGCGGTTCTACCCCACTGTAAGCTTGGCTCCGTGTTGGAGAGATCACTGGAAAGTGTGTAGATAGGGGGACGATTGATGTACTTGAAATTTTCAATGGGGAAGTCACTCTCCTCCACCACAGCGTAGATGTGCTCGTCTTCAGGCAGGTTATATCCCTTGTTTCCAGCGTCTGGAGTGCTGTAAGTGTAACACAACAGAACAATACATGTATTTCTTGTAAAATTAGTCACTTTATATATTAGATCTTTATATTATTCACAGAGGTTTATTATGTCGCTGCTAGTTATAGTTGAATTCAATACGTTATTTTACTCATACTAAACAATGCCGAATAATTCAAAATATTTTGCAATATTGCAATGTTTCAACGCTTATTAAACAAAAACTCTCTTATAATATAGAAACCCCTGATATAATAAACTAAATATTTTATGTAAATATGATAGGAAGAAATCTTACTTGATTCTGGCACTCCTACTTTTCTTGCGAGCTTTGATATAAAAAATTAAAAATTAATTTTTGAAAACAATAAATTTAAATCAATAGTATTCAGAATTAAACATGCATAGCATTTTACAGTTTTTAAGGTCTAATTGAATCAATCAGATTGTTTTGTCCTCTATACTTGCACATCACACTAAGTGAAAGTGATTGAATCTTGCATATGTTTTAATGTATCTCACGTTTTAGAGGAATATTATTTATTATACAGCTGTTGTTTAGTTCATGTATGTTTCTACATTATTATTTTTCTTTTTCATATATTCATAATTCAGTCTCAACTACTACGTTTTACTTGTAAAAGACATGAGTATTTTTTGTGTGATTATAGATGTAAATTATCTACTCGTATAACAACATTTCCAAAATTGTAAAAGTTAAAATTACCTTTAACGTAAGATATAGCACAAACAACAAATAGAATCGTCACAATTACTGCTGCAGCCGGTGTTGTGACTTTAATTAATAACGTATCCATTTTCATGAATGAAGTTAAGAGATCTATGAAGAAAATATGTATAATAATCGTATTATAATTTTCTTTACGAACAGCAATACATTTCTTTTAGTCTATTAAACTGAATTGGTAGATTGATTTATCTTAATCCTATTTTCTTTTCGCATAAGTTATGTTGTATTGTGTTTTGCCCATAACATTGCTTAGAGATAGGGTTAGGTTTGGTTTTAATGAAACAAGACATAGTAGAGCTTGGGACTGTATGGTCAAGTAGTCGAACACAAGACTACAAACTTAAACGTATCGAGTTCGTGTTTAAGTCTACGTAGCACTAAAGTAACCGAAAGATCATTGTGCTTTAAACAAAAAAGCTTCCACAGTTCAAACTACATAAATAATTAAGCATCAGCCCATTGATCATCAGATGTAAATTACAGTTTTAATCAGAGGCGTAGCGGGGGGGGGGGGGGGGGGGCTTGGGGTGCGGAACGCACCGGGTGACACCATTTAGGGGGGGGTGACATCAAGGCAAAAAAATAGCAAAATATATAGAAAAAACTTGAGGGGGTGTAAATCGAAAGTTTGAGGGGGGGGGTGCAAATCGAAAATTTGAAAGTTTGTATCCGGGAAGGGTTGCTACGCCTCTGAGGGATGCCGCTCTCTAAGTGCCGCACCGGGTGACACATGACCTCGCTACGCCACTGGTTTTAATCTAGGAGTATCTTAAAAATTGTCTATACCCATATTATTAGATAACCTCACGTGATAATCTGACAATACTTTACCTGAGTCTTGCAAAAACCTCACAGGGATTGTATACTCCATGACGTCACAGACATCTACTATCAACTGCGCAGTGCCGTTGTCATGGTTACTAAAGTTATACGCGACGCAAGGGACGCCTGATGCGACGACCACGTCATTGGACACGATCTTTGTCCTGCAGGGTAATGGGGAATCTCTGCAGCATGCCTTAAGTTCAGATACATTGGTGTCAACTACCGGTTTGTTTATTAGAAATGGTAGATTCAATTCATTGACTGTGAGCTTTATCTCAGATATATCTGAAAATCAGTTTTGGTAAATGTGGAATTCCAAGTCCAAGCAAGGCTAGTGTTAAATATTAACACAATCTATTTTTCTTAATTTTTACTTTGTGACATTGATAAAATCAATTTTAGAGTACATAAAAATAAAATATAAAAGACAATGATTTACGTGCATTATAGCTGTCTATCTTTAAGGAAGTTTGCTGTCTTTGTAGTTTATGATACAAACATATTTATTATGCCTGAGCAGCAGAGTTTCTCCCAGGCAAGAAAGTCTACCGTCCCTTCCCCCTGAACGAAATGGAATTTATATAGAAAGTATATATTTTTAACAGTGTCCGAACCTCCCTCCCTCGAAATTTTAGTATTTAATCCACCCCCCCCCCCCCCCTCCTCAAAAATTTCAAAAGCCCCAAACCCTCCGTAAAAAAACAGTCTGGAAGAAACTCTTCTGAGCAGTATAAGCAAAACAATTAATTGTCTCTCTATTAATAAGAGCAAAAAACAGTACAATTGCTGTATCAATAATGTGTCTATTGTCTATGAAATGTAAAATCAACATTCATATATATTATATATTTGTGGATGAATGTAGTAATCTTACTATAAATCTTGGGAAAACTTTGAACGTTGCTGTAGATGAAAGATGTTTCGCTGGCCAGCACACCCTGGATGTGTGCACCACTGAATCGCCTGTCTGCGGTAATGTTGACCACAATGTGGTGCGTGTTGGTGCTGTCTGTGTGGTTACAGTAACACATTTCTTCTTGGGGATGTGTACATCCTTGGACGATAGTTACGTTGCATAGCTGTAAAAAAAAGTTAAATGTGTGTAGACCGGTTTTTTACGCTGTTTTTATACGCTTTTGCTTAACCTTCTTCCTCTGTTGTCAGTCATCCGTCATAGATCGAAATGCTCGAGCAAAATTTCGGGCACTTCTAACTGACAGATTCGTTTCAAAATTGGCCCGTAGATCAAGACTTGAAGACAATGCAATCAAACATTAAATTTGAATTAATGTGTTCATTTCTATGAATTAATTAAACGTTTGTCCATATTAGTAGGCAGACTTATCTAACTATTCAGCACAATTTTACGCGCGTTATCATGTTCATTAGTTACGCAATAGTTATTAGTTATGAAGTTATATTACGATAAAAATTTGAAGTACTGAAAAAAAATGTATAAAATGTTTTAATAACAAGTTTTTATGTAATTATTCACTAAAAAAAAGCAGAAAATTAATTATTTTCTTTACATATATAATATTACAAAACTATTACAATTAAAATTCTGCATATCTAACTTAAGCATATATGTATTGTAAATTAATGCATTTTCCTTCGCATTCTTACTTCGTGAAAGTCAACATCCCCAAATTTCTTGGTAACAAACTTGACAATTGAATTCTCCTGGGTTAAGCAGACTTGTGCTTTAAATACAACGTTATCTGCCCCGTGCCTTAGGCCTTCATGACAGCTTGTCTGACTGTCTTCCTGCCTGTAATTCATTAGTTTGATACTGGCATTTACATTGGCACCTATAGTGGGAAAAAACGAAATGATAATCACATACTGATGTCATTAAAGCAAATCAGTTCAAGACTTTTATTTCATCAATGTAATATTTACGTCATAGATATCAGCTTGTTAAGGCCAGGCCCGAGACATGTGGGCCAGATATTATATGCCTCATTTGCTTTAATTACCTCGGCTAACTGGTTGAGAGTGCAGTCAATATTTTCTCCTGCCTTTAATGTGAGTCAGGTACTCATCTGAGCTGTGTACACCGGGACGTTCTACTATTTCAGGATACGAACTCGAAACTTTCGGATCAGCAACAATGAGATCTACCATTCGACCACGCCGATAGCAAACGCCATGCAGTGATCAATCCGGCATATTCAAAAGCCATTTAGTCACAATTTACTGCGTCGCGGCCAGACTTCTGCTCCTGAGCCGGAAAGTCCGTGTCACGAATGTCATGCCACTTTTAATTACTCTAACGTGAGTATAGGTGAACATCACACAACCTAGAGCCCGAGAATTGAGAACATTGTCCCATTCGAAATCGGTTCGTTGGAAAATGTGACAAAAAAGCGAATTCTAATTATTGATGATACTCAATTGCTTTACATTTTAACTTCCTTTTCACTGTTGTAATACATTTTTATTATTTAATTAATTAGTATTGTACTTTTTTCTCCTCAAAATTCACTTTGATACATTAAAGCGAGACAAAAAAGAAAGACGCAAAGTCTACCTTTCTTATGTGTGTATTTGATCCAATATTTTTGACTGACAGCATTGCAAACAGTGTACCTTAGTTCTACCATCTGACTGTCTTTCAAACTTAATGACGTCAGGTTAAAGTCCACACAAGTTTCTCCAACACGACCGTTTGACTGGTCAGTTACAATGTCGATGTGGCAGGGTGAGGGCGAGTTCAAGCAACACACACGGTTCTCTATAGTGTAGTTGTCGACCTCGTAGTTGTCTGTTGTTGTAGGTAGAGGTATGTTGTTCAGCTGGAGTTGTACCTCGGACATATCTCGAAAAAAATGTAAAAATGCAATTAGAAGAAGAAAAAACTGATTTTTTACCGCGGGTGTAATCATGATTTTCAGTTAAAGTACATGCTTTGTTTTAGTTTAGGATAATAACGGTGTCCAAATAAGACATAATTATATATTTAATTTTCTAATGTTGAAATATTTAAATATTTGCATTGTTTTATGAATCGGTAATGTTTAAAATAATAATTGGGAACAGCAATACAGCTTTTTTAAATGTTGAATAAGGTATAACTATTATACGTTTTCTTTTTTTTCTATTTATTAACAAGGTTGGCCAAGCGATTGTACTCTAACCTACTGAGATATCACTTTACATTGAAAATATTTATCAAGCTAAGCTTATTCGTAGTATAGACCTCTAGCTGAATAATAAAGCCATCCCTTTACAAAAAGGAAAATTCAACACTTGCCCCAAAATAAAATCGAATAAAACATGAAGTAAGATTCATGAACACTCTCCGAGTATTGCACACACTCTATTTACATGTTACTTTTTTACGCATCTATTTTTCTCTCATCATGAAAGGTAAACAGGTTTATGTCTATAAAAAGTTCTTGAGTCCACCCAGCTCTAATGGCTACCCCTCAAACGTTAGAGAAAGTAAAGTTATCTGCGCATATTGATAACCCCACTTTCTTAATATAAGTCAAAGTCACAGGTTAATTAAACATGGCCCCAGGTTCAAAGGGTAAAGGCAAAGACAACTTGAAAACTAACTCACGACATTCGCTAATCAAATATACAGTCGATTTCCAGACAGTTGAGGAAAATTCAAATTATTTGCTGGTGTGTAATATGTATATAATTTCTCATGTTATTCATCTTTTACTTACTGTAAATTTTAGGAAACCGTTGTGGTTTGCTATAAATCGGCTGATCCGTCGAGTGGTTGATGTACCCTCGTATCAGAGCCTCGCTGTAACGTTTTTGTGCCAGTAGGTTAATTTCGATATCATAAACTTCTATTTCAAATGTGAGTTTACAGGTACATATCGAAGGGTTGTTCCCCTTGCATCTGGGCCCTATTTCAACTAGGCAGAGCTTTAAGATAAAACCATAGAGTGTATAAAGCAATCTCTAATATGAGATTTAGGTTTAAACTATCTAAGGTGTATTGTACTAAGCAGTTTTCCTTTTTCTTCTTTACTTAATAGCTTCGATATAATGGTTTAATATACTATAGACTAAACCTGTTAAAATTAAATAACTTCGACCGTAATTAAATAACTCAAATACATACATATATATATATATATATATATATATATATATATATATATATATATATATATATATATATATGGATAGAGAGAGAGAGAGAGAAAGAGAGAGAGAGAGAGAGAAATGCACCTTTAAGAGAAAAAAAATTAAGGCAATGTTTTCAGCAATGGTGATAAAACATTGAGATTTAAATAACAACTATTACATGCTGATATGTTTGACCTCCATCTAGACTTGTCTGAAAACCAGTAAATCTGGACCATAAATTACTGAGATGCTTGAAATTTATCTTGGCATTAAAGGCAACGGTGTCCCTGTATTCTATCAATGACAGGGTGCAGGTTGTTTTGCTGTCTGTCTGCTTGTAGCTGTGCCATACTATGGAACACAAAACTAGGTCTGTAAGAGAAAAGCTTGGTGAAAATTATATAACAAAATGTTGACTAATTTAAGGATGAATTATTGTGTTAAGTTTTACATATACTAAGGTAAGAATGAGATTTTAAATGCTGAATTAAGTAAAGCGATGTGTGGGAGTTTTCCCTAGATTTACTTTAATATTTAAGTTTTTTAATACAATACAAGACAAACAATATGTTAATAATATAGCGTAAAAATAGTATACTACAAAGGAAACATTAACAAATCTAATACACATAAACCATCCGAGTAAGTTAAATTTTATACGACAATGTGCGAGTTTTTATCTAAATGTAAGTTTGAAAGAAATCGGTTCAGTTGAAGTGGTTACCTTCTGATCGCAAGTTTTTGAACGTGACAGACAATAGACAGATGAATCAAGATCAATCGATTATTGTATTTTTTTAGTTGAGAAATTGGAAATAGAGTAAAGTAAATATTTCTGAAATAAAGTACAACTTCCGGATACAGAAGGTCACTAAAATATTGACAGTAACCCAAGTAAACGATCATACACTTGTATATGCATTTTTATTTGCCTAAATGAAACAACACTCAAGTTATTCGGAAATAGGGTCAGGCACCATTTTCAATGAACAGAATTTGTTCAAATTTTAAAGAAAAATCTGTGCATAGAATGTTCACCTAAGGTAACCAGTACTAATATTATTGGCGTTTGAGAAACCTGAAGTAGAGTAAGTACAAAAACCACTTCCGGTGTCTGGAAATCGCTAACAGGTTGGTACAAAACTTAAATTATATGATATACGTATATATGAAAATACGTCAATATATCTACTCAAGTTATCATATTAACATCAGACACACAGACAGATAAAATCGTAAAACTAAATCTTTCCGAGTTGAAAAACGTAGATATTTGTCAAACCTCGATTTTATTTTTGCATGGTTACAATAATCCCTTAATAAGTGTATACGAGGAAATAAAACCTAAAGAAAAGAAAATATACTTTTGATCTTTTAACATTATCTAACAAAAAAATTGTAAACACAAGAGTAAGGTTTGCGATTTACAACACATTGATTGTGGATAAAAAAATTCTATATTATTTTCGTTTTTGATAAAAGCTATGCTAATCAAATCTAACCCACCTGGTAAATGTGATTTTAGACACGATACTGTTACAGTTATTTGTATTTTAAGTAAGTCTTTAAATGAACAATAATTCGTTTGTTGTGTAAATACATGTAAAATCCCTTACCCCAAACAAGCATTAAAGTGAATGAATTTCTCATTCTTGTATATATCCACATGGCTAGAAGAAGAACACTTCGATTGAACAACCACTTGCATAATATTCTCCTTAAAGCTTAAATACTTTTTCGATTATTTACGTGGCTTCTTTAAAACCGAAACTATGACTCATAATCTATGATTGAAGTTCAAAGTTAAGCACTTAAGTTAAAACATTATGTTAGTGGTTTAACTTTTATGTTTCCGTTATTTAAACTCATTATTTTTGCTTATATAAAAATAAAAGCACTTTATTTATCTTTTATTTATCTTTCTTATGATTGTTACAATGTAAGTAGGCCTATACAGAACAAACAATATCAAAAGTGTTGTTTCTTTTTAAAATTATAAGCTTTTATTTAATTTACAATGTTTGTTTGTTTGTAGATTTGTGGTAAATTTTGTAACTCAAAATCGTGAAGTGATTTAATTCAAACTTTTCAGATACTTTCGTCTTTAATGACAATGCAAACATATCTAATTTTTTTCTAATTAAATATTACGTTTGAAACTAAAATATATTTAAATATTACTATGTTTATTAATAAAAGCAGCGATAACAACAGAATTAGCCTCAAGCTAACACTCTATCAACCTAGCAACAACGGTGGACTGTTTTTCAATATCACGAGGATTCCGCAGACGCTGTAAATGGATATATAATCATCTTTAAGAAATCACGAGCTACTGTTTCACATATTTCTGTGACATCGGAAGACGAAGAGATAGTGTTGTCAGCACTATGTTTCGCCGCCTTTACTTTCCCTAACGTGAAGGGTTTATGCTGAGAAGTTCTACTGAAATGAACCCTGCATTTGAACGAGACTTTCCGGTTAGCAAACGTATGCTCTATCGTCCTACCACGCCTCAATAGTAGTCAAAAAGAAAAAAATTGCAGATTAATCTCTTGGTTATCAAATACAAAAATAGGTTGACACTGATAAAAACAGCACGCTGTTATCACGCGGATACCCACATAACACATCTCTAAAACGACACGTAAGATTTGCTGCTAAACACAAGGAGGTCAAAGAGAACTTTTTTTTATCATCAGAAAATGTTGTGTTTAATTGTATCCAGTTATAACGCTTAAGTCTTGTTAATTTTTCCTGTCAATCTAGTATAGTCCAGCTTTTACCAAATTACTACATGCATAGATTTCAGAAAGAAATAACATGTTTTTACAAGCTTTTATTTAACTCACTTCCTCTGTCGTCGCCAGTCTGTCGTCAGTCTACATCGAAACGCAGGAGTGAAAATTCGGAAACTTCTACTTGACCGATACGATTCACATTTGACACGTGGGTCAAGACATGAAGACAATGCAATCTGAAACTAAATTTGACTTAATTGGATGCCTAATTAATTTTTTATGAATTAATAAAAATTTGGACCGAATTAGTAGGCATGTCTAGCCAACCACACCACACGCGTCATCACCTTCAATAGCTGCGCCATCACGTTCAATGGCTGCGTTCAAAAACCATTGCGCGCCTACTGAACGTGATGTTCAGTAGGCGCGCAATGGTTTTTAGTCATGTAACTCTATTGTAAATAAAACATGTAAAGTACTGAAAAAAAAATTCATAAAAAACGTTTTAATAACAAGCTTTTATGTAATAATGCACTAAAAAGTAGAAAATAAATTATAGACTACTATTTAAATAACTATAAAAAAAAGCGTGGGTGTCTTCCTTAACATTAGTAAAGGTATCCAATAGATACTAAAGTGAACCACGCTTTTCTTTGTAGTTATTTAAATAGTAGTCTATAATTTATTTTCTACTTTTTAGTGCATTATTACATAAAAGCTTGTTATTAAAACGTTTTTTATGAATTTTTTTATGGATCAACTGGTAATCAATAGCATAAAACCGTTATAATGTTTCTTGTTTAAACACTATGATGTTCACAGAAGCTGATTAATTATTTATAACAATATTATTTTATTTAAATAGTTGGTCTTAAATTACTAACAAGTTTTATGAATCGAATTTGCTTTTAGGTAAGATAATAAAGTATAAAGAAAACGTTTCTCGAGTATTAATTATAACTACACGAATTAGATGGAATAAGTTACAATCGACATAACAACAGTAAGGGAAAAAACCAAGCGTTACATAGCATAGAATACCTTATTGTTTTATATAATTATCATTGATTAGTAGTAATAATATAGTAATAATATTCTTTTCTTAATGCTTATACGAACGAAGCATTTCACTTAAGGCACTTAAAAGTATCTGACATTTAATAGTATTTAATAGTATTTTCATTTCTTAGAGCAGGGGTTCCCAAACCAAATATATATATATATATATATTCAATTTATTATGATGGGAAGAGGCAACCCCCACCCGTAGTGATACCTAAAGAAACTGTACGGAGCAATACGATATATCGGAAATTCAGCTAGGCTCAGTATTGACGTAGTTTTTATCATAACGGGAATTCCGAAAATAAAATATACCTTGGCCTATTCCTTCTTTTTAGGAGATTTTTCGTTCTATCTTTGATGTCTTACAAGGCACATGTCATTTTTATTCACAATTCAAGCTCATTTTTTATCACAAACAGATCTCTCTTCTATATATTTGTATGTTAATAGTCATTTTTAAACTGTAAGTACCTTTAAACAGTATATTATTTGAGTTGTATTTATAACAGGAAGTGAACTTAACAAAAAGCACGCCATGACAGATATGGATGGTAAGGTTAAACATTTGAGAGTTGACGTAAAGTTTTTACTCAAGAAGCTGATGTAAACTTTCTTGAGTGTCGCTTGTCAAGTTATGCAACATTATCAGAGGATTATATTGCATGTATGGCCTTATTTATAAAAGGAAATGTTAATTATAATTAGAAAATAAACCGGGAGTGATCTCCCCTAAACTTTCTCGAATATTCTAATATAAAATTACGAGGGATGGCAACTCAGGACATAGACAATATTTGTTATCAATTTTTAATTACTTAAACTTTTTATAATAGAACTAGCGTACCCGACCCCCGCGCGTTGCCGCGGGGATAGAAGAAAGTTTGACGAAATATCTTAGGATTTCACCAACGCGTTATCAATTATAATTATATGTTCTTAGACGCGTGACCTTCTTTTCTAAAAATGAGTTATTTAAATGTAAACAATGCCTGTTCTTGGATCATCAATATCAGGAAACGGGTTTACCTACACTACCGCAAGAAAACATTGAGTGTACATTAATCACTCACCGAAATAATATGGTAGAACACACTTCGGCGACCGCCTCTGTGTCAGAGACGTAGAGGGGCGCTCTCAGGGCCCCCACCCCCGATTTCACTACCGCATAGGCGCGGCGTACGACCCCTGGCTCCTTAAAACTAACAGGCGCCTCGGCCAATTAGCATCCTGTTAATAATGATACTGATTTCGTCATTCGCTAAAGTGACACAAATGAACAGGATTTTTTTCTTTAACACGTACAAAAATTATTTGACGTGTTTTAAATATCAGTGTGACTGATGCAATATGCTAGCGTTACTAATGGTCTATTATTAGGTACTCGATCTCAATTTCTGACTGGATTGTCTAATAATAGATGCTTATTGCATCATTCGCAAAGAGACGAAACTCTACAGTAGGCTCCTCATATTCAAAAAGTTATTTTTTCATCTTTCGCAAGGTGACGAAACTGTACAGAAGGATTTCCTCGCGTTACAAAGTTATTTTTAGAAGCCTGTTGTAGTTTTACCGCTGAGTATAGTAGTACCCCTTATTCGCTATGCAGGACGCTCGATTAACGGATGCCAAGTGCCAACTTAGTCGCTCTAAAACTCTGGGCGCCAAACCGTATATTGACGAAAGTTGTACCCTATATGGCGCCGCCCGTAAGAAACTTTAGTTTTCTTTTTCGCAGAAATATTCTCGGGAGTATTCTCATCTACTCCCTAAAGTTTCATGGCACTCGGATGAACCGCATCCGAGATTTATTTTTTATATACCGTGTATAGAGGAAAAAAATCGCTCCCCCAGGGGGCGCCGCCCTTGCAATATTAAACAATATTTTTTTGCAGAACCCTACCATTGAGTTTCATGGTACACGGATGAACGGTGTGAAACCGAAATTTTATAAACCGTATATAGAAAAAAATCGCAGCCGCCCGTGGCGCCGCCCTTGCAATATTAAAAAAGGAATTTTTTACAGTACCCTTCCCTGAATTGTTCTAATCAACTCCCCAAAAGTCTCATGGCTATCGGATAACGGTGTCACACCAAAATCGACTTATTTTTATAAACCGTATATAGAGAAACATCGCACCCTCCCGTGGCGCCGCCCTTGCGAAATTAAAAATTATTTTTTATAGAACCCTTCCCTAGAGTTTTATAATGAACTCCCCAAAGTTTCATGCCTATCGGATAAACGGTGTCACTGCAATTCACTTTTATTATTTTTATATACCGTAAATAGAGAAAAATCGGACCCTCCAGTGGCGCCGCCCTTGCGAAATTAATTTTTTTTTTTCAGAACCCTTCCCTGGAGTGGTATAATGAACTCCCCAAAGTCTCATGTCTTTCGGATGAACGATGCCAAACCAAAATCGACTTTTGTTTTTTATACCGTATATAGAAAAAAAAACAAATCGCGCCGTGTCGGGGCGCCACCCCTGCGAATTTTAATTTTTGTTTTCGCAGAAACCTCCCCAGGAATATTCTCAACAACTTCCCAAAGTTTCACGGCGATATGATAAGAGGTGTGGTAATGCATAAAAGACACACAGACACACAGACACACACACATACATTGCTTTTTATATAGATAGATAGATAGATAGATAGAATCTCGTAAAAAAGAATTGCACACTAAGTGAAAAGTTTCCCTTTCAAACCTGACGGTCTATGGGGCAAGTGAAGTAGTGTTCACTTGTTTCTGTGACCTCGGCATATGGTCAGCACTATGCCTAGCCGCCTTTACTTTCCCTAACTGGAGTTAGGTACCCATCAGAGTTGGGTGGACTCAGGGACGGTCTACTGACTTGAACCCGGATTCGAACTCGAGACTAACGGGTTAGCAGTCCAGCTCTCTACCGCTAGACCACTTCGTCCCACACAAAGTAGCCTAATAAAATGTGCATAAAAGTGCGGGATATTATTAGGAATATATAAATTTACATGCGTTTTTTGAGAAATCGGAAATAGCGAAATTTAGTACTTCCGGTCAACAGAAATTACTCAAAATTTGACAGAAGGTAGAGCATTAGACCTTTTACTTACGTGTGAAATTTCATTTATCTATCTAAAATAGTACGCAAGTTATAGGCTTTTGAAAAATTCAAAGTAGAAAAAGTACCACTTCCGGTTATCGTAAATCGCTCAAAAGTTGATCAGGATCTACGATTTTGATTAAATACTTATATATGAAATTTCATCAGCCTAGCTGTAACGTTACTCAAGTTATGGTGTTTACACACAGACACACAGACTGACACACAGACATACGGACAAGATTGCAAAATTATGTTTTTCCGAATCAGTGAGGTGTAAAACGTCGAGATTTGTAAAAATCTCGATTTTTTTTGCACGATTACAATACTTTCTCTATACGAGAAAGTAAAAAGTATAGTATAGAACATTACTATTAAATAAAAATTACTATTAGATTCTTAAAAATTAATAGTAATGTATGCGTTTAACATTTAACAGCCTTTCCTTTTCATTTTAGTATTCATTTTCTGTTTGCACTGAAAAATTCAATCAATAGGATATCAATGTTTGGCGTGGGATACAAGTAAAGATAGCTAAAGACCATTTGTATCAATGTGTTTCATAGAATATCAATGGATGTACTTATATATTTAATAGTACTTCCAGTGTAGAGAAAGGACAGTTAACAAAACAGAGGAATTAGATTCGATATGTTTTTTATATCGGCCTCAAAGCAGATTATGTCAACGTTTTATCTATCTGTGTCTAGTTAACTAACTCGTGTCATAAAATGTATCAGTCGTCTCTACCTATCAATCGATTTACAAACTTAAATATGTTCAGATAATATAGTTTGTTCTCTTGTTTTAATATGCCTAATGTCGCATTATGTCTTTTCGCAGGCCTAACATTTCCCATAGAATCATGAAGTCTACAAAATTATCTCTGTGTTTTAATGCTCTACTATTCCACATAACAGGTATTTTATTGTATTTGACATTTCACATGCTTCTTTATCATGTTGGAATAATGCGATCGTTTTTTTTACCTACTTCCACTTTAAAATCATCAAAAAATCAAAAAATAAATTAATTTTTTTTTCTTTAGCACAAATGAATATCAAATTGAAAACGCGTGTGTTGCTAAATGTTTTTTTTTATTATAAGAAACTTTAAAATTGTTTTTATTAATTATTATTTAAAACTGTCTTTTATTTGATTCCAGCTATCTAAGATTAAATACCAATTTGCTAATTGATAATAATGAAAATTTTGAAACAAGCAAAGAGGCCTAAGGGTAAGCCCTGGGCGCCTACTTGCATCATACCGGAACGCCAGAGAGTGGGGGCGTCTGACTTGATTTTATTTAAGATTTAAGTAGTTTAAACGAACGTAGGTGCCATAATGCTCACGGGAATTCCATGAGAATGGGGGGGGGGGGCTAATTGAATTCTCCCGGGTGCAGTTATCTATAAACATATTTTTTTTACTGAGATATTGATCTACGTCCGATAGTCTAGTGACAATGAATTAAATCTACAAGGGGATGCTACTTTTTTTAAAAACAAGAAAAATGAAACCATTTATAAAAAAAAAATATTTCCTTATTTAATTTATTCCATGGGACGCCAATTTATTTTGCTTTGAATCAAGAATTATTCTTATTGCAATTCTATATTATATAATTAAGTTGTGGGTAAAAATAAGAATATTACTCTTAATTTTACCAACACATTGAAAACATTTTCTATGTTCATTAATTTTAAACAGAATAAGGTTTATTTCTAAATTTGTACGTATTTTTAATCCTTACACATAATACAGATTTTCTGATCTCCTGAAAGTGAAACATATACAAACTTGTAAATATTTAGTCCATTTTAGTATAAAATAGATTAACTATTATTAAAAACAAACATTGTTTAAAAACAAACTTAATTGTGAAGGTTTACATTGAAAACAAAGTTGTACTTAGATCTGTTTTTAAACGTAAATATAAAATATATATCATATGTGTAAAAAGTACTAACTTGTTGTACATATAAAATGTATGCGAGCCATTTAAATATCAAAGTCTTAAGCACACTGAAACTCAGTGAACTGTATTATTTTTTAAATAATTAACATTGTGAATTCGTTACTTGCTTAAAGATGCAATTGCTACAACTTAATAGGAAAGCTAGTTGATATAAAATATATCTGCACAATTTCCATCATTACGAACACCATCCCACATACACAATGCAATCTTTTTGATACAATAAAACATACGTAAAAGTTCAAATGATAAGCTTTTATTGATATGGAAATTATTTTAAAACTATAATTATACATATATTTTCTTTTAATTGTATCTATTTTCTATCGTTTTTATAAATCGATTTAGTTGAGAGAATCACATTGTTAAATATGCATTACGGTTTTTTCATATAGAGTAATATTTTTTTATTCCTCGGCTAAGATATTTTGACTACAACTTTGTATAAGATATCCTGCTTTTACTCTTAACTCTTTTTGGGAATAGGTAAGCAAATGTTTAATTATTTTATTGTGTCTGCAGTAGCGTATGCTTGCGACCCAGCTGAAGAGGGACGGCCATATTTACTAAAACACAGCATAGCTAAAGTTCCATGGGGTGTAACAATGGTCACGTGGACAAAGGACGACATTTTAGTCGCTGATTGTCCTGTTGCTACTGCAAGTTGTACAACCAATGCAATGACGTGGTTGGTAGCAGAAGTTATAAAGACAGATGATAATATAACATTTTTCTTAAATATTAGTAGCGTTTCAAGACTATCACGGAACAACTCCAAAGGAATTTGGAAGTTGAAATCACACACATCTAGTCCTAGGGCAGAAGAATTTTATAACTGCAATCTTCAGGTCTATGGTAAGTAGACATTTAAAGTAGATTGGTTTACAAAACATTTAGAAAAAAAAAACATTTTGTAATAAAATTAGATGATATTTATTTATGAACTTTAAAAATGTATATAAACACAGATGAATATAATAAAACAAATGAATTATTTCAGTATAATCTTTTTATAGGTTCATATTTTTAGTACAAATTTATGTCTGGAAAAAATCTGATTTCTTAGCTGCAATTTTAGCTTTAATTTTTTGTTTTTGATAAAAGATTACTGATAATGTATAACATCGTTTAAACTGATCTTTTTTTTAAGTTAAGAAGCTTTTACTTTTTATCTAATATTATAATTTAAAAAAATAACTATTCCCTTAATCCAATAACAGCAAAGATAAAAGAGACGAAGTGTATAAAGAATTTGTCCAAGGATGGTCTAACCGTGTCCTGTTATGGGAAACAAGTTTATCCAGAGGCTATGGTAATGTTGTAAATTTTGTCGGTTTTTAAATAAGCAATCTTATTTTTAAAAAAATTGCATTTTTTCTAAGTCAACTGTAGTTACTTAATTTTATCAAAACATAATTTGGGTGACAGATATATTGACATCGCCATCTGAAATAATAATTTCATGTCGATTTTAATGGCTATAATTTTGTAGCATAAAATGATTTTGTTCAGTCGACTTGAGATACGTTACCAGCACTTACCTTACGGTGATTTGTTCTTTATCAAATTATTATAAACAGCTAACAAATTGCGTAACTTAACCACTGTAGGCTAAGTTGTCTCAAACGAATAGCATATTTTAAAATTTTAATTAAAGATGTTGAAGCCTATATCTGGGTCAGTCCACAGAAATCTGCACAAACCTTGCTAAACAATGGCATGTGGTCTAAAAGGGTTATTTGGGAGATTGTTTGAGATGGGGAAGCATACAGTGTTAGACTATTATCACATCTAAAATATACAGCGTTAAGCTTTTGAAACTTGTGTCACCAGATGTCCGTTATCAGAGCACCATGACACTCTCATGCCAGAACACACGTAGTGGAACAGAACTTGTTTATTATGATACAGAATGTGTGAGAACATTTTCCGTGCAGGAGCTACATTTGAAAAGAGAAGATTTTATATTCTGCATTTACCCAAATATAATTGGCGTTCAAAACTATGACCAGATTTCAACCAATATGTATATGTCTGTACTTACAGGTAACATCTTAAGTGCTAACATTCTAAATGAGAACTTTGTAAAATAATCTAGTTAGAAAGTAGCATTGTCTGGATACAAAATGTTTTTTAAAAAGCTACCTCTAAAACCTTAATTTTTTAAATACATTTTAATTGTAAAGGCAGAAACGAAGGTAGACTGTATAATATTCAGTTTTAAAAATCGAAATGTATAAGTATAATGTAATGTTTTTTCATCTAACATAGTAAGCCTATTGAATAAACATGCTCGTAATGTGGTTTTTGTTTCATTTATTCATTCTATCATAGCTAAAGTTAGCTTGCATTGTAAAACAAAATGTTTATATATTTTTAAATACCATTGTTTTTTCTTTCCTGTAGAACCATCTTCTATATCTGTTCAAGAATGCATTAGAACAGCTAGTTCAATCAACTGTAGATGTGATAGGCTAGATAATGACGACAGTAAGCCTGGTTTCAGTTGGTATTCCGGTGACGTTGAGGTTCAACGCAAATCACAAATATACACAGCGACAAAAACAACCGATGCAGGTTTGTTTACAAACAACATTTTTAACTACTTGATGTAACGTCTCAGTTTAGATTTAATTTTAAACTTAATATCAACACATGACTTTTAGCTTTAGAACTGAAAGAGACGTATATGTCTTAATAATATAATCTTTAATAATGTTAAAATGTATTCTGTATATTCTATAACAAATATTTTTTCCTATTATGTTTAATTGCTCAGTACATTTTTATATCAATTTCTAAAAGTAAACTCAACACTTGAGGACATATGGTGTAAGCCTATTACTACTAAAACCGATGGTAACCATGGTAGGTTGATTCATGCATATTTTCTGACATGTTTTATCAAAATAAAATGAGCTATAGCGTGCTTAAATACGTGTTGTCTTTTCTACTTTATTTTATTAGTCGCACACTCTACCACGACATTATTGTATAACTTAAATAAATAATATATAACTAATGCATGCATTTTAGAGGGTGATGTTATAATAATAAAATGGGACCACCTGACATAAAATAATGATTTTTTTTCATCTGTTTATTAATTCTAAACATTGTTAAGGTTAAGTCTAATATATAATTCATTATTGAAAACTATCCTAATCTTTTCAAAATGTTTAAACATTACTTTACCTTTTCACCTTCACTTTCTAGTTTTATTCACCAGTTATTACGTTTTCAATTTCTTGAGATTCTTGAGCACAAAAATATGTGATATGTGTTTCAGATGTAAAGGACATTGTTATTTATGTACTCATCATATTTGTTGTATGCACCATCATCGTGATTTTGATTTTGTGCATCAAATACAAAAAATGCAGTAAGTATAAAATAACGATTATTTAATGTTTATATATATATATATATATATATATATATATATATATATATATATATATATATATATATATAAAGCCTTTTTTGTATCAACAATTCTACAACCATTGTACAAAAATTGTGTTCAGGTCAGCCAGTCGGAGACTACAAACAACCAAAAGTGAATATAACAAAACAGAAATGTGTAAGGTAAATAACTAATTCTTTTTATGTCTTATAAAATGAGTAGCTATTGGAATATTTACGAGAGTAAATTTTCATCAACTATGATTTACTTTTAATAAGTTTTGGTGTTTTCTAAAAGAAAAAAAAATTAGACAACTTTTTCGTTCCAAGGGTTTTTAAAACACATTTTTTTTTAAATTTTAATTATTTGATTTTATTAGTTACGTACTTGGTAAATATTTCTTACACATAAGGCATGTATTCTTTTTAATAACAGGAGGAAAAAATGTTTAGACGTTGGTATGTACAATAAGTTATTATCGTATGTAGTAAATATCTTTTCTTCCATAATATATGTTATGGAAATACAATTTGTGTATACCAATATGTAATAAAAAGTAAACTCTTATATAATAAAATGTTAAGTGAATGGACGTTTATTTTCACTTATATATGTTAATATATATATATATATATATATATATATATATATATATATATATATATATATATATATATATATATATATATATATATATATATATATATATATATAACAAGTTAATTTGATATAATGAAAAACATAGAGTCTACAAACATTGACAAATCTGAAACCCCATTAAAAAATGACATGTAAGTAACACCATTTTAATGTACTTATATTTCTTTTTACTAATGATTTCACGCATTTATAGAAAAAATACATCAGGTAAAATCGAAACATGTATTAAAACATCCGAAGTCTAATTGCCTCTTTTTCATTTAATTTACACTCTTTGCTAATTGTGTATAATGGCATAAGCTATAAACAAATGTGTAGAAGAATCAGCACAAAGATCAATTTAAAGCATTTTTTAAAAAGTTAGTTATAAAATTAATATGCCAAACATCTTAATTAACTAATTTTTAAATTTCACTTTATTTTTTTCAGAGAAGCTAATGATAGTGAAACTGGTTAGTAGTTACATTTCAAATTTTTATTCAGGCTGTCTAATAAAAATAATTCCATTCACACATTTAAACTTTAATTCATCTGGAAACAGTACTAAATATATGTTAAAATATAATGACCTACAGAGACCTTTAATTAGACTGTAAATAATGTTGTGCAGATACATTTGTACAATTATTATTATATTATTTAACGCAGTCTCTAGAAACATTTTTTTTTAAATTACATAAAAATGTTTAATTTAATTCGTCAATATGTATTGACGATATTTTGTAAAATATAAAATTGGATATTGACAGAAAGCCTTAAAGAAACAACTAATCCAACGGTTGATTTTGTGTAAGTACACATTTCTTAATTTTATACCATAGCTTGAACACAGAAAGCTTAAAACGAAAACTATGTCTTTCTCAAAGAAATTGTTTTTTTTTAAGTTGAATTTTATTTTGTAACTTGCGCATTATTTACAAAAAAAATGTAATTATTTTTATTAAACAAAATAGGATTATTATACATGTGTTTCCAAGATGGGGTCATCCATAAATGATGTCACTCTTTTTTGACGATTGTTTACCTCCCTCCCCTACCCTCCGTCACACGTCGTCACAAAAAGCCAGACCCCTCCCTTAAAATGACGTCACAACTCAGCTTACAAATCCCCCCCCCCCCCTCAAAATTGCATGTAAGAATACGATTATAAATTTAATTTTAAAAACATTTCTTCTAATTTAAAACTGATATAGCATAAGCTGAATGCTTTTGTCAATATATCAAATATTAAAACTGTTTGTAAAAGGAAAACAAAATACATCTCGATTTCAGCTGATTTTTAAATTGGTGTATTGTTTTTATAGTGGGTTATTACCAAAAAAGCCAAAAAAACTTGGTAATATTTTGATACATTGTTTTCTAAGACAATTATTGTATATATAGCGAAATAACCATATACTAATTAAGAACGTATTTTACATTTACAGAAATTTAGATGAAACTAACAATGGTATGTAATAATGAAACATTACTTAAATAGTTTTTTTTTGTAATCGCTCACTCTCCTATCTCTCTCTTTCTCTCTCTCTCTCTCTTTGTTTCTCTTTGTTTCTCTGTCTGCTCCCTTTCTCTCAGTTGGTTTATCTCTATGATATTTTATGATTAATTAAAATGTTTATATTGAGTGTTCTGGCATCTAATTTTATAGTATTGCTATTCTGTAGAGCATTCTTTACAAACGGACCACACCATTTCTACGGAAACAAAGTAAGAATTATTTTAGTTAAAGTTAAATCATAAGTACCTTTTAAATTAACATGAGAATTTAAATCATAATTTTAGCATGTTCGATTTTCATCGCGTTTTATTTTTATCATAATATAATTTGTGATTTCAGTTGAAAGGTTGAAACATTTTGGATGTGTCAACACAACTTTAAAAATAAATTCGCGTATATGTATAATAAAATGTGTAGTATTTGTTAACAATACATACTAAACAGTTATTTAGTATTAGAATAAGTAAAAATCAATTCCTGAGATATTTTTGCATGAACGTATTGTTTCAAGTTACTATACGGATATATATATATATATATATATATATATATATATATATATATATATATATATATATATATATATATATAATTAGTACCTACACGTTACAAAATTGGAACATTACTTTCTGTGCATTTTAATTTTAAAAATTTACAAAAGTACGCTTAATTGCTTTTCATATATAATATAATTTCAGATTCAATCCGAAAACCTTCCAAGTTAAATCTTCAATATTGCTTATTGGAACAAAAAGTAGAAACATAGAGCGGTTTAAAAACTCGCTGCTTGGGAAGACAATTCCTACAACACTTACTTCAAGGAAATGGAGTGTGTTTAAAAAGAAAACAAAAAGTGTGCACGAATCGAGCGAGAATATATCGCATACGCCTGAAATGCAAGACAATTATGAAAAGAAAAGAGGGAAAGCCAGCAAAGAAAGAAATGGAAACAAAGGAAGTAGTAATATACACCTTTGCTACTCTAATCGCAATGACAGAGTGTTTAAATTAGTAGGTCGTGTCCTGTGTATGATGACAGGGAAGTTGATAAGTTTAAAGACGAAATGAAATCCTGTCTTGTTCTCTGTCGTGAGGGCTACAATGCTGTCGTTGTGGTATATACATCAGATAAAGAAAAAGAGGCCACTTCTTTGATTGATATTTTGCGTGAAAATTTTGCTTTCAATATGAACAATATAATTCTCATTAAAACGAAATACGTTCATTGTAGAGAACATAAACCACTTAGTAATTCTACAAGTAATGTTGCACAAATGCAAGATGATTGTATTGAAGCAGAAAGCACTGTTGATTTTAGAGGAACAAAGGCTGATCTTAAATTTAAAGATTTATTTACAAATAGGTACATTGGACTTCAACTCCCTGCCACCGAGGATAATATTAATCATATTTTTAGGTTTATTGATGAAATGGGCAAAGCAAACTCAGTTTCATTATTTATAAAATATGATAGAACATTAACATCCAACACTATTTTAGAGACTGTGCTAAGAGAATTATCACTCTTGATGGAAACTATTACAAAAAGAAAAAATAAACATCAAAGAGAAACCGAACAAAGATTCAAACTATTACAGGAAACGTGGGAAAAATTTGTTAATTATAATGTCGACAATGTATGTGAATCTGACAATAACGTGTTGATAGAGGAGGATGAATTAGAGGATATGGAAGACGAACGTGAAGAAACAGGTAGAGAGTTTAATAAAGAGGCTTTGAGACAAAAGCAAGAAGTATGTGAAGACGTGACGTATCTGATTAAATGTTTGCATAACGTTTATTTTGCTGCACAACAAATAGAGAGAAATGAAAAAATCCTGCTGCCTCATGTCATGAAAATCTTTCAAAATTTTCACGACTGGTATGTGGAGAGTATAATTAGTAAAAAGGATACAGTCCTTGATAGTAATTATAAGATGAGACTTTTTCAGAAAATTGAAAAAAGACGACATAAAACAATTTAGAGACAAAGAATGAAGCAAAATGCCAAAAGAGTATAGTTAAGATTTAAGGCTGTTCTTTTAACAGTAATAGGTTAATTTATTTGTACGATTTACTTAATTTATTTTGTAGAAATTGTCTCATTGTTTGTAAGACAACATTTGACTATACTTTTACTTCTCCCCTTAACATGTCTCTAAATTGCAATATAATCCACTTTGCAACAAAAATTGCAATACGATTTATACAATAAACATTTATTATCCTCCATACAATGCATACTAATACTGTGTCCAGGCCATTTGTACAATTTGGATATTGTAGTCCTTATTCAAGACATTTTTGCACTGCCGAGCTATCCCAAAAAGTGTCCCACTGTAAATATTTTTTTTTCTTCTTTATTGTGTAATAAAGAAGACCCTAGGTCGAAACGATTATTGTACATTGGTTTTAGCGTGTGAAGTTACTATCTCTTTGTTTATTACTACTTATTACATTACAATGTAGTCCCGATCTTACATACTCGACCATTTTGATTTATCTCGATTCGGTGTTTGAATAGTTTTCTACTTAATAGATTTTGTTTTCAGTTGCAGATTATTTCTGTAAACACAATTATGTTTTTAAAGTAAATAAAAAACAGTGATCTCATATAAACTTTCAGGTGTATTTTCTTTAACATTAAGACTGATGGTTCTTACAAACTATCAGGCTATAAAAAAAAATGATTTTTTTTAAAATTGAATTTTAATACGCTTCAATTATTTAATATAATAGAGTCCATTTGGTAATTAGAATCGCGCGCCAAATAAATGTAAACATTGTGTGCATATTTGTGCGGATCACTAGTACATAATAAAGGATAATTAAATTAATTTTCAAAAAGTTGTTTAATTATCTCACTCATTCACATTTTCTGTCAAAGTGCACTGCAATCAAGTAATGAAAAAATCGAAAAAAATTGGTCAATTTGAGGTAAATTTTGAATCATTTGTAGATTTAAGAAATATTCAAATTTTCTTTAAATTCAAGCTCGAATTTGTTGCCGGTTATGATTTAGTGAATGTTAATATCTGATTTCAGTTCAAATTCAAGAATTAAAGATGTTTTTTTGTAGGTATCCATTAGTGTCACATTTTGCGGGCTAGGAACGTTAAGTTTGTATTTGTGTATTTTTGTATTCATAAATACGTCATTGTAATAGGCACATTGTCACTGACTAATTGATCGACTTTTAATTTACTTGTAAATATCTGAAACCCTAGCATTCTACGCCTAAATCGCTTAAATTTGCTTGCTTTGAAGCGACACCCTGTGTTCTAAGTTTGACTGCTTGCTAAACTTGATGACGCACGTTTGACAGTAAAACGCTTGTTTAAAATTAACTCACTTGCTGTATTAGCTTGACAAGCTCGCTTGCTACGCTTGACAGCGCTCGATGGAAAGCTACACAAGCTACACACTCGCATGAAAGCGTGTCACGACTTAGCTTTCTACTCTTTACGGCGTTGCAGTGTTCTAGATTTTATCGCATTGGTGTGTCATATGCATTTATAATTCAGCCATTGTACTTTGTGCTTCTTAAATCAGTGTCGGTGTGCAATCCTAAACATATCGCCCACCATCCACATGCACACTAATCTTCAAAAAGTGACCATATTTATCTATTGAGGACATATTAAAATAAAATAAAAACACCAAACGATTTGTTCATTCACTTTAAGTGCTTACATGATACAGTGATAAAAAATAATTTAAATTTGAATAACCATTGATCAATTGGAATAAACTGTCATAACCTACAATTTACATGTCTACGCGATACTGTAACAAGGTTTCTTTCAGATATTTTTTTCTTTTGAGAAGTGGCGCTTAAAAGCTTATATATATATATTTATTTATTTATTATGGTGGGAAGAGGCAACCCCCAACAGTAGAGGTACCTAAAAGAAACTGCACACACAATGAAGACGTTTACCCATTTTAGTTTTACAGCCCAACTATACTTTAAATAATAATCATAATGTATATTATTCGACTAGTTATGAATAATTGTGTATGATTGTATTGTAACATCAATCATTTGGCTACGTCTGCTGACGGAGTAGTGCTTTCTTCCTCCAGAAGTCTCACGTTCAAACCCCTGGCTAATGATGCTCGTTAGCCGGGGTCAGCATCCAATCTAGGTTAGAAAACTTCTAACAACTCCTGCCTTGTAGTTTATTCTTGTAAAGACAAAGGTTATGGAGGAAAATCCAGAAAAAAAAACCCCTCGGAAATCGGAGTCAACGTTCGAAACAGTATCTACAATAAATAAATTTTGGAATCTTTGTAAAAATAGATTTAAATTTGAGTAAAATGGCTTATCAAATTCCTGTACATTAAGCATGATAATATTATCTGCTATGTTTATCAGCCATAATGTATAAATGAATTCGCCGCCCATGATTTTGGTTTCTGTTCAGCTGTTAAAATATAATAAGAAATAACAAAGGCACAATCTGTTTCAGTTCAAATGCTAATGGCTTAATAAATGGTCAGTCAAAAATAGTCAATATTACAAATATAATAATAATAAATACAGCTTATCAATCATTTAAGTTTAGGACCTGCATGTGCTCGCAGTATTTCTTGTATTTACCTGAAGTACAGTGAAACACATTTTCGCATAATTCTAAACGGCTCACAAACACCCGTAACCCATTAAAAAATATTAATAAGAACTGAAAAGAAAAATCAATATTGTAGTTTCGATTGTCTACAAATCCTAGTCCTAGCGTGTTGTATTTTCAAGGAGGGCGATCGAATGCTAATAATTTCAGCTCTTCGTTATACAAAAGGATCTGTTGTGAATATTTTATGATAACGCTACGGGCCAATGCAGACAAGCATACTAAATTTCGCCAGCCATGAGTTGTATAGGACCTAGTTGATAAAAAAAACAACACATCGTGGTGTTTGTCACGTACACACTCAACACACTGCAGCAACTTTTATCGACCCATTTTTTATGTGAGGCAAGAAACGCGAGTAAGAAGAAGGGAGATAATTTTAGGCGAAGCGAATTTAATTTTATTTTCGGAGGTTGTATATCGGTTAATGAACATATTTTCTTTAAAAAAATATATAAATTAATATATTTATATATACCCAAAATTTGGAACAATGTTTTATATTTTGTAGCGAAATACCTTTTTATGTCAAGGGTGATGCCCGACCTCTGGTACAGTTTGAAATATCTTTTCATACAATGTTTTTCATCTTGTAAATCTTAGTTTTCCAACGCGGAACATATTTTATTAAATATTTCTGCCTCAATAGATTTTAAGCTTACATTTTAAAAATCCTCAGATGCTTAATATAGCTATTATAAACGAATATACAACACAATAGCAGTATTTTTAAGCAAACAATAAATAAATTTAAAAAAAAACGCAAACATAACTTTTTTAAAACTTCATAAATTTTAGACATGAGTATCTCTATATATAGTCATTTTTAGCAAAAAAGCACTTTGTTTTTGTAAAGTAAATTGATGTCAACAATTAATTAAAAACAATAAAGGTGTTGGTACATGCGCGCAAGCCGTTTGTACAGAATTATAAACGGCTCCAAAATTTTTAAAAATATATATCAATGTATCAGTATGATTAAAGTATTGGCATTTCATCTGTATGCTCAAGGTCACAAGGTGTAATGTACTCCATACTGTCAACACAAGTTTGACGACTTTTCTTACGGGGATTCGGTAATTCAGGCCTGGGTGTTGCGGCTCTACCCCACTGTAAGTTTGACTCCGTGTCGGAGAGATCACTGGACAGTGTGTAGATAGGGGGACGATTGATGTAGCTGACGGTCCCAAGGGGGAAGTCACTCTCCTCCACCACAGCGTAGATGTGCTCGTCTTCAAGCAGATTGTCTCCCTTGTTTCGAGTGGGTGGTGTGCTGTAAGCGTAACGCAACAAAAGGAAGATATTTACTCTATGATTACGTATTTGACATAAGTGTTATTCGAAATTTACTCGATGATTACATATTTGACATATGTGTTACTCACAATATTTAATTAAGTCACTTCTAATAATGGCTTTTTAAAATCTAAAAGCTCAAAACTATTAGCTATTTTGCTGACACATTAATTAAGCAATACCAAAAAAGTCTATCTGTTTTGCAATATTGCAATGTTTCCACGCATGTTGAAGAATGAACCGTTATTTTATTATAATATCATTTATTATTAAGCTCATGGTTGCTAAACCAAAAAATTTCGAGTTCGTACACTTAGGCAAACGAAGCTCGTTAGCTGGGGACAGCCACTCTTCTAGGAGAGACACGTTTGGAAGCATATCCAAAAAGAAAAGCAGGCTGAAAATGGCGCATAACCATTTGACACGTATACTTAATTGTGTTGGAGGGGATCCAAGAAAAAGAAGAAGATTCATTATTACAATACCGAACATAGATTTTAATTATCTCATGTATTTATATTGTGTTCATTAGCTAAATATATGCGCCTCTTCGGCATTAGTCGTCCCTTATAATAAACGCGCATCTAACTATAAGGTCACAACTGAACATATGTTAAATATGTCAGGCTAAAGAGATACGTTAAAATCTTACTTGATTGTGACATTCTTTCTTGTCCTGCCAACTTCGAAATAAGTTTAAACAAATAATTAATAGATGCAAACAATACGCTACAATTAAAATAATTTATATCTAAACATGTATTCTAATTTGCTGTTTTCTTATATAATTTAACTTAAAAAATTGTTTTTTCTTGTGTAGGCCTACATGGATATGAAAATGATGGTGATTTAATCTAGGCGCCATGGAATATAACTCACTTTTAGAATAAACTTTAACTTTTGTTTAATCAGTGTGTTTCTACAGAATTAACTTCTTTTTTTTTCAAACATTCATAATATATAAACCTTAACGGCTCATGTTTTCTTGCAAAAGACACATTTAATTTCCGTGATCATATATATTAAGTATATACACATATATAACATTAAAAAAATAAAATATAGAATTACCTTTAATGTAATAAACAGCACAAGCAACAACTAGAATGGACACAAGTATAGCTGCAGCCAGGGTTGTGATGGAAATAAACAGCGTATCAATTTTCTTTGAAGAAGTCAAGATAGCTATAATGAAAACAAAAATCGCATTTGCTTTACAGTGGTTTTTTTACAAATAGCTTTAAATAGAGCATCTAATAAAAGCTAAAATTTGGAATATTTTTTGTCGGTTCTTTTCTATCTTTCAATTGGAATGCCAGACTAAGATACAATTATATTCTTTAAATTTGGTTTGTTCCGAGGTTCAAATTCTGCTTTAATATTCGGTCTGTAACAATTTTTAAAGTAAGGTTTAATTAAGTTAGGTTTAGTCGTAGTTTAAAGATACTCTTGAACATGTGAGAGATATCGAGCACCTGATTACTAACTCGAACGTTGAAAGCTTGTTCTTAACCAACCTAGCCCTGAAGAGCTTTTGCCTCGGGTAATGGAACTTTCGTAGTAGCTAGAACACATTGCTTTATTTTTTAAAAAACCTAGAGGTAGAAAACAAAATCACGCTACACCCCTGTACACCAGAAGATCTTCAAATACAGATGTGTCAATGAACATCATTGCTGTAAGCCTACATCATTAGATAAAGTCACGTGATCCCTTGAGAGAAT